GCGGATAAATTGTAATATTTTTAGAATTTTTTTTTGTTGGCAAAGCTAACAATTGATGCATTATTTCAGATTCTCTTCTTTGTAGTGACTATAATTGCTTAGTACTCTCTTGTTGCTTGGGTAGAGTGAAGGCTGTTGCTACTTCAATTTGGTGTTATAATAATATATATTGGATTTTTGAGTGAGTTGACATGCGAATTGACTTGGAAATATAAATTTAAATATATACTAAATAAATTTATCATATGCATGTTATTTAATAACTTCTATATGTAATATGTACTGTATGTACAGTATATTTAAATAAACTCTATAGCAGTTAGTGCATATGTTATATAGAGTAATATATGAAGTATAAAAAATTAAAATTGTATGTCACAATGTATTTTATACTCCTAATATCGATTATTAGTGATGTTGAGACTATTATATATATTGGCATTAATATTAACATAGTATTTTAATACCAAAAATTTTCAATAAAGCAAAGATATCAAGTTTTTATAATGCAATGTAGAGCAATTTTTAATAAAGGTAATTAATGAAAAATTTGTATTTTACTTTTGTCTTCATCACTTATAGATTTTATTGATTATTATTAACAAAATCATTAACAATTAAAGATATATTAGGTTACTTTTAATGTCTATCAAACTCAATATAACTCAAGTTCACAAAATAAAATCTTCATATTCTTTTATATTCAAAAATAAAAACCTTCAAGCTTATTAATAATTATTTTTATATAATTAAGTTTACAAAAAAAAAAAAATTCTAGCTTGCCTGTTCAAAATTTAAATAACTTTTCTAATACTTGTATATTATATCTAGAGTTCGTCATAGATTTTTACTTAGAGATGGGCATTCGTGCAGTATCATATGTATGAATCAATAATTTTTGCAGTTTAATACGCATTCATGTGCAAGAATCATTAATTCATGCACATGATACTGCACGAATGCCCATTAATTATCTATAAAATTGATTATAAAATAAATTACAAGTTTATTAAAATCTCAATAATGTTCAATTGAGTAATACATATGCTTTGATATCAAATTGCTTTGTGTTGATTTTCTTTTTACCTTTTCAGACATGGCTTCAATTATCAAAAAAGCTCATCTGTCTTATTTAACCTAACAATACTTCATAGTATTCTTTAATTATAGATCGGCTAGCGATGTCTTCAATTATCAAAAGAGTTAGCATTCTTTAATCATAGATCGGCCCAACCATAGCTTCGATTATCAAAAGAGTTTATCTTACCTAACAACACCTCATAATATTCTTTAATCATGAATTGGCCCAACGATAGCTTCAATTATCGAAAGAGTTTATCTCACCTAACAATATCTCACAGTATTTTTTAATCATAGATTGGCACAACCATGGCTTCGATTATTGAAAGAGTTCATCTGTCTCATTTTATTTAACAATATTTTAGTATTCTTTAATAATGGAGGATCAGTTCAACCATGGCTTCAAATCAAAAACGTTCATCTCACCTAATAATACCTCATAGTATTCTTTAATTATGGATCAGCCCAACAATAGCTTTGATTATCAAAAGAGTTTATCTTACCTAACAACACCTCATAGTATTCTTTTACTATAAATTAGCCTAACTATAGCTTCGATTATCAAAAGGGTTCATCTCACCTAACAATATCTTATAGTATTTTTAATCATGGATTGGCACAACCGTGGCTTTGATTATTGAAAGAGTTCATCTATCTCATTTTATTTAACAATATTTTAGTATTCTTTAATAATAGATCAGTTTAACCATAGCTTCAAATCGAAAGAGTCATCTCATCTAACAATACCTCATAGTATTCTTTAATCATGGATTAATTCAACTATGGCTTCGATTAATAAAAGAGTTTATCATCCTACTTATCTAATAATATCTTATAGTATTATTTAATTATGGATCAACCAAACTACTAAAGTAACTATATAAGTAAAATATGTTTCTATTTTGAATAATCGTATATATATATAACAAATTATGAAGAATAATAAATAATTATACAATCTATTCATATACTGTACCTAATTCTTTAATTTAATTACATAAAACCAAATATAGTAATCTATTACATATCTATGTTGTCAGAAATAGTCATCAATAATGAAGTTAATAATATTTTTTTTTTTTTTTGGTATTAAGATGACCTCTTTGGTCTGGAGACTTTTTATTAGAGTATAGATGAAGTTTTATATGTAATTACAATGATAGTACATCAAGCCACATGTACACCTTTTGAGTGCTTATTTAAGTAGTCCGCCTGAAGGTTCAACACTATCTGCCATACCTGCGCCCCAACTAGAGAGGTACCTATTTAAACCATCTGGTTCTAACTACTTCCATCAGCCCTCTAACCCGATGGGTTTCCTCACTATTCATACGTAGATATTGGTATCACCCATTATAGATTTCGCACCCAACCTTAGAACACTTAACTATCCTTCAAATTGGTCTGGTCCGCCCAATACTGATTACAATATAATAATTGTTATAGTAATATAAATATAATGTAAATTTAATGCTTTATAATTTGTTTATTTATCAATTATACTAATATCAAATTATTAATTGTAGCTACGTGATAATATGACATCTTTTCATGATGTTATGCGTGGATCTAGTTGGGAAATATGTGTATATGCTTTTTTATTAGGAATTGCTAAAGCAAATACATTTTTAACATTTAAAAAATGGAATGAAGAAGGATATAATATATCATATTTTGATTTTAGACGATTATTAGCAGATGAAATGGATAGAGAAATTTTTTCAGAAAATGAAATTTTGTTACCAAATACAAGATTTCAAAAAAGAAAAAGAGAATCTGAAATAA